CCACCGCATACACCGTCACCACCACATACACTGTCCCCACCACATACACCGTCACCACCTCAAACACTGTCACCACCACATACACTGTCACCGCCACATACACTGTCACCACCGCATACACTAGCTGTCACCACCGCCGCATACACTGTCACCACCGCCGCATACACTGTCGCCACCGCCGCATACACTGTCGCCACCGCCGCATACACTGTCGCCACCGCCGCATACACTGTCGCCAGCGCCGCATAAACTGTCGCCACCACCGCATACACTGTCGCCACCGCCGCATACACTGTCGCCACCACCGCATACACTGTCGCCACCGCCGCATACACTGTCGCCACCGCCGCATACATTTGTACACTGTCGCCACCGCCGCATACACTGTCGCCACCGCCGCATACACTGTCACCACCGGCGCATACAGTCGCCACCGCCGCATACACCGTCGCCACCGGCGCATACACCGTCGCCACCGGCGCATACACCGTCGCCACCGCCGCATACACCGTCGCCACCGCCGCATACACCGTCGCCACCGCCGCATACACCGTCGCCACCGCCGCATACACCGTCGCCACCGCCGCATACACCGTCACCACCGCCGCATACACCGTCACCACCGCCGCATACACCGTCACCACCGCCGCATACACTGTCACCACCGCCGCATACACTGTCACCACCGCATACACTGTCACCACCGCATACACTGTCACCACCGCATACACTGTCACCACACAAAGCGTGTGGTCGGCGCCTTTGATTGCATTTATTTTGTTTTTTTATTCACGTCATCTATCACTGGCAGCGTTTGTTTTGTCGCGTCTCACAACTTAATGTCCAAGCTGACTTTGTTTTGGCTGTAAGTGAACTACGTACAGCTCATGAAAGTATTTCGCCCAGAGTTCGCAAAAAACGGAATACCCTGCAAAATTTGAATCCTTTATTTTATAACGAGACATTGGGCGCAAACATAAAAACCATAATTGTAATTCAACAGGTTTATGTAACGTGTTAGTCCGCTTGCCAGCCGCCTAGTTAAAAAACGCGATCTCCAGTGATGTCGGCTTCGACAACTTCGGACAAGTAAGATGGGCGCTGGCCGACATTACATTTGCAAGTATTGTATTTGTTTGACAAA